CCCCTAACTCCATCCTTTGCAGAGATGAGAGGTTCATGATTATGGAGTGCTGCATATATTTGAACACTTTTGTAAAAATATTGATTCACAATGATCCAAAACAATCTCAAAGGATTCAGGATAAAAAAAAGGCCATCACCTCGAGAGAAAGAACTGATGGCATCTGAATACAGACCAATGTATAGTATTTCACTTTCTTTCTTTTTTTTTTTCTTTTCTTTAAAAATATTATGTGCTATGGGATAGTTCTCTGGGAGGGGCAGGAAAAGAGATACTCAATCTCTTTGTGCCTCTGCAGTATTTACCTCATAGGGTTGTTTTGAAAATCAAATGAGATACCTTGCAAACTGTTAAGCACTATATACAACAATTTCATTTTGACTATTTCTCTTTCTTATACACTGGTAGAAGATGAGTAAAATACTAAAATACTGACAAAACAAGAGAAACATCAAAATGCCGCGATAATCCAAGTAATTAAAAGCTGGCCACAATTACCCCGTACTAAATTAAGGTATACATTAACCCAAATATGTACATACAGGTGTACTAAAGTAAACTTAATGAGAGGCTGAATAGCATAGTGCATAGAGAGCTAGCATCTGACTTTTTGTATTTACAGTGCCTGGTACACAGTAAGCACTTAATAAATGATTATCGACTGACTGACTAGGGAAGACCTGCATTCAAGTCCTCTGTTACATAATGGTAACAACGGCAAGTCATTTAACCTCTCAAGCAAATTTCAAAGTTTACTTGAGAAGGTGCTCTTCTGTACTGGTAGATTAAGTTTCCTCACCCAGAGCTTCCTACATTAAAGAAATCATAGATCTGGGTTTTGTTTTTTTTTAATGCTTACTGGAAAAATATTTTTTGGGGTAAATTTGTAAAACTTATTTTAAACATCAATAGAAAATGAGAAAAGAAAAAAAATTGCTATGTACACAGAACATGAGAGGATTCAATATAAAACAATAAGTTTCCATTTCAAGAAAGCCTATATAGTAAATACCATACATTGTTTTCAAAGCTGCCCAGCTAGTCTTTTGCCTCCTTGTAGGTTTTCTTTGATTCTCTGCTGTGCACTTTTTACTTTACTTTTTTCCTCTCCCTTCCCCTACCTCACCCTAAAGAAAGCTACAATTAATCATGGATATGTACACATACACATATATCTATAAACACATACAGTCATACACATATACTTAAGATCATACTATGCTTATTTCCACTTATCAGGTTTCTCTGAAGGTGCAAAGCATTTTCCTTCATATATTCAAGTCTTTCCATGTTTTTCTAAATCAACCAGCTCATTTCCTACACTGCAGCAATTTTCCAACCCAATCATATCCTATCTGAGAGATTGTCTATTAAAGTATTATCCCAATTTTCTGCATTCCTCCTATTCTTGGCTGCTTAGGTTTTATTTATGCAAGAACATTTTAATTTAATTTAATCAAAATTATTTATTTTATACTCCAACAATGCTCTCACCTTATAATAGAGTTTAAGGTCTGATACTACTGAATCTGCTTCTTTTACATCTTTTTTCCTGGTTTCTTTGAAGTTTCTGACCTTTTGTTCTTCCAAATAAATTTTGCTATTTTTTCTAATTCAGTAAGACAATTTTTAAGTAATTTAATTGGTATGGCATTAAATAAACAGGTTATGTAAAATTGTCATTTTTTTAAACTATATTGGCATTACCTACCCATGAACAATAACTATTACTTCAGTTATTTAGATCTGACTTTATGTAAAGTGTTTTATGTTTATGTTCATAGGAAAAATTATTTTTGAATGATATTCCTTAAACCTGAATAACTTTTAACAATCTATAATTCAACAGAATCTATAAACCTACAATTTATCTAATTTACCTGAAAGTAAGTATATTCACCCAACATTTGCATATAGCCAATAATACCTCTTGACTTCAGGTCCAACCTTATTACAAAACCCACAAAACTCAGAGTACACACTCAAAGATATGTATTTACTCTCTCCTGTTTGTGATATATTCCTTCCTCATCTCCAAATCTTCTTTCAAAGTCAGTTAAGTTGGCTTTGCTATTTTCCCCTCCCACTTCTAGTTGTTAGGCTCTTGTTCTGTTCTAATTATCTTCTATCAACCTAGGTAACTATATGGCATCATAGATAACATTAGACTAAAAGTTAGAAATATCTAAGTTCAAATCCCTTCTCAGACACAGATTAGCTTTATGACCCAGGGTATTTAACTTCACTCTCTGTCTCAGTTTTCTCATCTATAAAATAAAGATAGTAATCATACCTACCTCATAAGGTTGTCAGGATCAAATGAGATAATGTATGTAAAGAGTTCTGCAAACCTTAAAGTGTTATTTGCTATTATTACACAAAGTAATCTATATTAGCACTTATCTATGTATGATATTGTATCCCCAAGCATAACATAACCTAACACTTTCAGTATCTTTAACTTTCTGTCTCTCATGCTTTTTCATAAATTGTAATCAAATACTATACATGCCAGCTCAACATTTTGCATCAGTTTCTTTACACTCCACTCCCACCATTTTAATTAGATCTTTTTAAGGCCTTTATAACTACTCACACAAACTATTCTGATGGTCTCTTCACAATTCTAAGACCGCACTTTGCTCCAATGCACCTTTAAAACTGACACCAGAACAATTTTGTATACATGTATACCTGGCCATATCATTGTTCTGCTTAAAAGACTTCAATGGCTTCCCATTGTCTAACCAATAAAGTTCAAATTCTTCTGCCAGGCACTCAGAGTCCTCCATAATCTGTTTCCTCCTCCCATCCAGACATCACCTATTACCTTTGCTCCAAATACCCACTTTATGCCTCCCAAACACATAATTCCACCAATGCCTCTGCTCACCTTGTTCTCTATGTCTGGAATATCCTCTCTTGATGTTTTCCTATGGAATTCCCACCCATTCTTTAAAGTTCAATTTAGCATTAAAGTTGTGTTCTGTTCTCCATGAGTCCTTCTCTGATCTCTTTGGTCAATATCCACTTAACCTGAAGACTTTACCGAGTACTTTGTTTTGTAACTCTTACTACACTTACTGATACTACATTAATTATGGCTAACTGTGTTGGTACAATTCCCCTTGGCAGATTTTAAACTCCATGAATTCAAGAACAATGTCTTAAAATTTTTAATTTTCCCCTGTGCTTATCTTACAAACACAAGCATGTACTTAATAAGCACTTTATGGTTGGTCCCTAAAAATATTTTATTTAGTTTACCAACTAAAATTATAGTCAAACCCAAAATGGGTTAAGTGAACAACTCTGCCTCCTCTCTAAAAATCATGATAATACTGAGAGTAGCTAGACCTTACTGCCTATCTTCTATTCTGATCACAGTAACAAAGCATTTATTTATTGCTCATTAAGCCAAGGAGTGGTAAGTCCAAAATAAGTTCTAAAAAAAAAAAAAACAAAAACCCAATTAACATAGAATGGACAGTGTCAGTAATTAAATGCTTATAGACTTGTAATGAACAAGACGGAAAACTAAGAAGCATGGTATCCTTATTCTTAAGATAGTGTTTCATAGATCATCATTACTATTGCAAATCAAAAGGTAGACCAGAATCAAATGACTAGGAATTACTGAATCAGTACAATACTTTCTAGGCATATGGGATTTATTGCCTTTATACTACAGAGTTTAATTAATGCTTTCAAATATTATTATCCTTCTTCATACTAGTCTCCACTACTAGGAACTAAAAGGATTTAGTATGGATATGATCCACACAGTAGATAATGCCAGAGGGATAAAACAATCAATCTATATTTACAGAACACTTTATTTGTATGAACTATTGTAATGGAATGTTAAAAAGAATATGGCAGGGACCTTTCCTTCATATAATTAACAAACTAGATGAGGAACCAAAGATATATGCCTATGTATAGGATACAATATAGGATAAACAATAGTTAATGCTATTTCAGAAGAGAGATTATCTGTGTCTCTAGGTGACACAGGGAAACTTTCAGAGAAGTAGGGCTGAAACTGAATCTTAAAGCACTGGCTAGGATTTAAGGGGAATGGGACAACAGAGGGAGGAAAGAAGGGAATGGCCTATCATTTACTTCACAGTCTGTCCTCTACCAATATGTATTGGGAGGAATGATTTATGGGAACCATTCTAATTGAGCTACTGCGTTTATCACGTTGAATTCAGGTCCTGTGTGAAGTAACAAAATAGGAAACAACCAATTTCATGTTACAGAATTGTACGATTTACAACTAGGAGCTAGAGGAGATCTTTGAGACTATTTAGTCTCACCCCTTCATTTTACAGATGAGGAAATAACTGACAACCAGGAAAGTTAAAAAATTGTTCCAAGTCCTTGAGAAGTCTACAATTTAAATCATTTAGTTAATGAAATACAGAGAGATAGACAGGAGTTTGATTGTGAAAAGCTTCAAGTGACAGGCAAATAGTATGTGCTATTTGTTAACAGTGGGAATTGCCCAATTCAATATAGATGAAACTAATCATGATATAATAGTTATTGATCCAAAAACACAGTGCAAGAGAAACACTGAATAAAAATGACTTTCAATTCAATTTTGGCTGCTATATGCCATGATGAAATATTAAGACCTTTTATAGTAGAACACTTTCAAAGAATATATACCCCCAATATTTTCCAACTAATTGCAATTTTAATCAATGAATTATTTTGTCAAGGTAACATTAACATAAAAAGCTTCCACTGTCTGTCTTAGGTGAAGCACAACGATCTGCTTTACTTAATAATCATAATCAACACAAATTAATTTTACAGTTACCTTTAACCTTTAAAAATATTGGAGAAATAATTATGACTATTATTCCAAATTCCTTTGGAAAATGTTGCCTCCTAAATTATTTTTTAAAAACAAAATGACTAATACAAAAATTAATCAATAATTTAAAAGTTTTCAAGATAGATCAATAAGAAGAATTGTGCTTTCTTACCTCCAGGTTAAGGTAAAGTTCACCCAAGAAGAGCACAAAGGAATGAAATCGTTTTCTGGTAGCCTCATCTCCTTTTGCAGCCTGATCTTTGTTTTCATACTCAGTTCGACATCTAACAGACACACATAAACACAGATAAAAAACTCCCAAGATTTTAAAATGCTTTCTTAAAGTAACTTCTGAGTTTCATATTCTCACAAAATCAACTATAAAAGAATTAGAAAATGGCCTTAAAAATGTGTATGTATATATATATATGTGTATATGTGTGTGTATGTGTGTATATATATATGTATATATGTAAAAATATACACACACCCCAATTCAGCAAAGATGGCAGTAAAACACATTCCTATAAAACCATCTACTTAAACTCAAAAAATTCAACACACCTAAGTTCTATATGCACAAGGTACTAATCTAAGTGCTAGGAATACAGAGACAGAAACAATTGCTGTTCTCAAGCTGCTTTAATTCTATTAGGGGAGGAGGAAAAACATAGATATGGCAATATAAAGTGCTATTAAGCACAGGGGTTAGGTAAAGATGTCATGTAGAAGGGACCGGAGTTGTGCTTTAAAGATCGGGACTCTATAACAAAGATATGAGGAGTAAGTGCATTTCAGGCATGGAGGACCACTTGTGGGAAAGCACAGAGGCAGGAAATCTAATGCCAGGCAAGGGGAATGGCTAACAGGCCTGTCTGTTGGGAATGGAGAAGCAGGCAAGGTAGATGGGAGCCTGATCGTGAAAGGCAGGCCAAGGACCTTATATTTTATACCACAAGTAATAGGAGGTGGGGGTGAATTTAGTTTATGTTTTAGGAATCACAATTTGGCAGCTGTGTGGAAAGTAGAATGGAGAAGAGATGAGAAAAATGGAGACCAGTGAGGATGTTGTTGGGACTTCAGACTGAGCACATTTAAAGCTTAAAGTATCCTCTTTTCCCCCAAACTGGTTCAAATACATATTACTATACAGGAAAAAAAGTCCTCCAATTCAATCTATTGCTGAGGAAAGGACTTAAGACAGTTGACCATGCCCAAGGCACGATGGACACTGGGAAGACTAAATTAACCTGCCTTTCACCGTACTTTCCTGACTCCTCTGACTGCCAACCTTCCTCATAGTGACTAGCAACCTCAAAGTTTATTCAAGTTTAAAACTCCACAGGTTGATTATAGTGGTCTAGCATAAATCTTTCCTGACTCTTCCCCATTCTATACATTTTCTTCAATACTGCAAAGATCCTTGATTTCACTTGTGTGGGCACTTCCTCCAGAACAACCTCCCTACAATGTAACAGACAATCCTTCAAGAGTTGCTGTAGTCAAAAAATTCAGTCCTTCAGCCAATTTGGAGTCAAGTCTCTCTGATTTTAGTTAAGGTAATCCCCAAATGACAAATATTTAGTCCACATACAGCCTATTGCCAGATACACATTCAAAGCCTTCTGAGATTTGTCAGAGCTTGTGCTTGTCTAGCATAATCTCTGAAAGCTTAGGCTTCTCTATCCCACAGTGACACATCAGAATAGTACTTTAGTGGAAGGAAGTCCTATGTGCATAAATGAAAAAGCTCAGTCCCCTTAAAAAGTTCCTCCTTTCATACCTAAGTTTGTTTTACTTGTGAATAAATCTGTTCTATTTAAAAGCCAGGGAATTTTAATTTATTAACCTTTATTACATCTTAAAAGTAAAAATTTCAAAGCAAAAATTCAAATTGACAACCTCCTATTTTCAACCCATTAGCATACTGTCAGGAGAGTCTTTCAATAGATGGTTTCTCAAACTTGCAGTGTAAATAGCCCTCTTCTCTTACCCCTAGAGACTTCTACACACTGGACAACATAGCAAATTTAATAAAAATGTTTGTAATATGCTACCAGTGATTTTAAGTACATTAATGTTAAAAGTTAAACTATATGCTTATATTAAAGAACTTTAGAGGGAAATTTTTAAATAAAAGTTTGGAATTGTAAAAATTAATTTTATTTTTCTTTTAGAAGAGGTAAGTAGCTTGTGCAGATTAGGGAGTGGGGGCAGGATAACTAACCCCCAACTATGTATATATGGTCTAGGTCGGCTGGGCTTTAAGAGTTTCACTCTGTCATCTGGTCTTACATACCCCTTACAAAGTACAACAAAGTTGGGTACATCAAGTGAGTAAGAATAAAGGATCACAAGTGAACATTACAACAGGTGAGTAAGAAACAAAAAGGATGTAATCCCAAGGCTGATTTAAATGCCAGTAATTTAAAAGGTTTTTTTTAAGGTTCACAAGGTTTTATTTTTTTAAATTTAAATTTTATTAATTTGTTTTTCGTTTTCAACATTCACCACCATAGCTTTCGAGTTTTAAATTTTCTCCCCCTCCCTCCTCCCCTCCCTTCCCAAGATGACGTGCAATCTGATACAGGCTTTACATTCCTATTAAACATATTTTCACATTAGTCATAACATTACTGACATTATTCACATGACATTAGTCACAATTTAAAAGTTTAAGGTTAAAATAAAGGAGGCATGGAAGAAGAACTTCATGTATTTCATACATTTTCCCTTACCTTTTAAGTAGTAACTGCCGGAAATTTCCACTTTGTGGACTAATGGTTAGATGATGAGACAAATAATTACACAGCCTTGCTCCCATGTAAGAGAAGTGTGGTACAGTTGTGGCCTTTTGATAGAAAATTGGAATACAGTAATTTTTACATGAAACAAGCAAAATAGGTAAATTAATATTTTTAAAAATCCTTAATGGCAACAAAATGAGGAGTAAATGCACATAAGAAATTGATGTATTTCACCTTAAAGAGTTGGCTATATTATATTATTAAGCAAACAAATCTCCAACCGTTTCTGTTTGGATTAAGAAAATGGCCTTCCCCCAGTGGGAAGTGGGCTTCTTAATGCAGCCAATTCAAGAAGAAAAACAAGCTTTAAATCAACTTTTAGGCGGACCTGTAATAAAAAAGTATAAATACCCAATGCTCAGTAAAATAGTGTGTTCAAAGTCGACCAAGTTCAAGCCAATTAGAATACCACAGTGATGCCGGAAACGACTTATCTTTTAAAAAAATCCTTTTCAGTTAGGTGTGATAGCACAAGCCTGTAATCCCTTCTACTGAGGGAGGATGAGGCTGGTGTGTTGCTCGAGTTAGGGAAGTTCTGAGCTGCAGAAGGGCTAAAGGAAAGTATAATGAAACCATATTCATACTGGTCAGTAAATCACAATCTTTAATAATTTATATATAAAAATCAGTAGGAATTTTTAAGTTACAAAGACCTTTTAACAAAGAACTCTACTCAAATCCCAAGAAATAGAAATAAATGTTCCACCCACTTGAAACTTCTAAAAAGCCTTATATAATTAATGCTATATGACAAAATTTACCATGTTAAAAGAAAAAGTATATATTGTTGAAAGTTATGTTTTCTGTAGGGCAACATTATATAGGTTAACATAATGAGTTGGGATAGGAATCCTGGTTTCCGTTACCAAATTTCAGTTCCTTAACTGCTTAATGTCTCAAATTTCCTCATCTGTATTAAAATACTTTTTATAAGTGTTTTGCAAAATACAACATGTTATATACTATATTAGACATATACGTGTAATACATACATAATTATACAAAATTAAGATATATTTTAATTGTATGGGCCAGATTTTACATAAATAGATTGGTTATTTTCATCTTCAGGAAAACTTTTTTTAAACTCACGTTCTGAAGGCTCACATCCAGAAAAGCACATTAGGACAATCAACTCCATATTTAGTTTAGAACACAGTCCTTGGTTTTAATGACCAATGAGAGAGCACATTCTAAATTTCTATCTTTGTCATCTTTGGTCTAACAGAAGACTGAAATGATTCCTGGCTTTTTTCATTATCTCAAAGCAAGCAAATAATTCCTTCATTGCTTTCAATCACTTAGGTTTTCTTGAATCAGAAGGTAGAAAAAATTGTAACTGCTCTTTGATGTTTCACTTAGATTTTTTTTAGATCTAGTTGCCTGATCCTGGGGTTCAGTTATCCAATTGTGAGGTTACTGAAAGTGTATATGAGAAATCACTTTCAATTTCCAAATAATAGGTAAAAATTGTAAATAAAATTTCAACATAGCATGGTTAATGCAAACAAGTTAATCATATTCCTCACACTAATATTATAAAGCCATTCTATTGTATTACTTTTGTAAAGAACAAAACGTCCTCTCTACAGGTTAATTTTGATAACCATGTAAACCAGTAATTTATTGTGATCCTTTACAATTTTCCTTTGAAACTATTAAAGGCCATGCATAAATACACACATGAAAATGGCTAAGTGGAAAGATTGTTTCTTGTTGATGGGTAAGATGGGAATTGAAATAAAATAAGAAAAACAAGATTTAGGAATAACTAAACTTTTAGTAAAGAAAAAGAGTTTTGCCTTCCAATCTACTGGATTCAGAAATTAATCTATTTAAAGTTACTTAAGAAAGCCATTTTACTGCTGTCATTAGTACATCCCAAGTTCTTCCTGTTGTCAAGGAAAGTTGGACAGTGTCATTTTGTTGTCTCTAATTAAGAGGGTGAACTCTATGTCTCTGCTCTTGGGAGTTTTTTACCTATTTTTATCCCTAGCGGTTAGCACAGTGCTTGGTCCACAGCAAGCACTTAATAAAATGCCTTTTTATTCATTTATTTACTCATTACCACATCAGTACTGAAGTTAACAACTGCCACAATTTTGGCAACTGCATCCAAGAGAACTCTAGATCTAGCTTTGCAAAGCTATAGGGAAATCATTGGCAATTCTATTTTTGGCTACACACACAGTTCTTCTTCTAGTTGGCAGAGTAACTACAGTACTCAAAAGCAGTAAATTAGAGTTACTATTAGTATCTCTCCTACTAATACCTAGTATTAGAGACCGTAATACAAACAAAACTATGCACCAATTCTCTTTGAAGGTATTTTGTTTACAATCAGTATTTCTTAACATCAGCTGTCCTAATTCACACAGTCATACTAAAAAGAACACATTTTTAAAGGAAAAACAAAACAAAAAGGCACAATGTGGCACCTTTCTCATTAATATTTCAATGTTATAACTGAATAAATTCATGAATGAAACTTTTATTGAGCACTACTACATGCAAAAAGCACTGTACTAAGTGCTGGAAATACAAAGAGAAACGTAAGACAGTCTCTCCAGGAGCTCACATTCTAATACAATATATATGAAAGGTTTCAACTACAAGTTAGATGGAAAGGTCTAATGGTCCTTAGTGTGCAGTGGCAAAGCAAATAGTACTGTCACTTCTACGATAAAAATCCTAAGAGTTTCTAAAAATGAACCATTTCATAGTGCCAAGGACTTTGGAGGCAAGAACTGTATTTTCAATTGATGCAACTGTGGAACCTGATGGAACAATTCCCAAGCTGTATCTCTACAGGTGCTATTTTCTAGGATTATGGCCTTGTACACTGGGTCACCACTGAAGATTGTTTTTCCCTCCGTTACCACTTCAAAGAATTGGTCCATTAGCCTCTTTCTCTTATTTGGGGTACACTAACTGGTAGATAACCACCAAACTCTAAGGCCTAACCTGGGGTGAGTGCACTGCTCTGCAGCTGACTGGTTGGTTTTCTTTAGTGAGTTTTTCTATTGACAATTATCAACAAATCATAAGCTATGCAAGAGCTTAGCAATAGGCTAAACACTCAATGAATGTTTATCAATTTGGAAAGTTTGCCTTTTTAACTTAGCATGACAGAATCTTAGTGTAGCAAGGGTCAAGTGTAGTCTAAGTATTCATGAACTCAAAAAAACTATTTCAACATAAATGATATCCTTTGCAATTCTATATTTTACTTTATATATTTAAAAACATTCTGAGAAGAGGTACATAGGCTTCACCAGACAGACAAAAGGGGACCCATAATCAAAAAAACTGTTTAAGAACTCCGGATCTAGTCTAACTCTTTCATTTTGCAGCTGAGAAAACTGCTGCAGGTAATAAGTACGAAAGCTGAGATTTGAACCCATATCCTGACTACAAATCTGGAATTCTTTACATCACACCATACCATACATCTCTTACTATATCATCATGATGCATATCATCCTCCTTCCCTCCTCTCCCCGCCCCCAACTCCCAATTCTTTTACATCATTTAAACTTTTTATGATTAGGAAGTAAAAAAATGTTCCCCCTCTCACTGGTATTGCTAGGTGGTAAAAGATAGGAGAGAGGGCATCAGAGACCTGGTTTTAGTTCTAGCTCTGCCATTATATGACTACAGTCAAGTCACTGTCTTTAAGCCTACTTCTTCACCTGAAAATGAGGATTCTACCATTTGGAACAACTATCTCACAGGGCTTCTCCAAAGAAACTGTACAACACTCCTTAAGTTTAAATTATTACTTTAAATTAGTTGTTTATGTACAAAATACCTTCAAAGATGCTACTAGCACTCTACAAACTACTGTAGTCAAGCAACATCTTCAGTGACTTCTCTCAGCAAGAGCCTACATATTTTACATCAGAATATTCTTACAAAATTTTGAATGCTTTTCCTACATAAAATTTAAACTTAATTTTTGAAAATATTCATGGACCTAGCTCAAGATAATAAAAAAAGAACACTCTGCCCCTATAGCCATATAGTCTTACAAAAGCTAAAAGCCAGCATTTATATTTACTGCTTTAAGGTTTTGCAGAGTACTTTACATATGTTATCTAATGTGATCCTCAGAACAATCCTCAGTGCTATTATTATCCTCATTTTGCAGATGACAAAATTAGGCTTAGAGTTTAAGTGACTTGTCTAGGGTCACACAGGTAGTAAATATTTGATGAGGGATTTGATGTCAGGACTTCCTGACTTCAATCCAGCACTATTCCAACTACACCACCTACTATCTAAAGAATAGGTGAAACAGGGGGCAGCTAAGTGGCGCTGTGGATAGAGCACCAGCCCTGGGGTCAAGAGGACCTGAGTTCAAATTTGGCCTCAGACACATAATACTTCCTAGCTGTGTGACTCTGGGCAAGTCACTTAACCCCAACTACCTCACTAAAAACAAAAACAAACAAAAAAAAGAATAGGTGAAATAGGAGCTAAGTTTTGATTCTTCTATCTCATTTACTTAGTGTTCCTCCATTTTCAATCCTTTCAGACCTTAAAAATTCAGAAAAGCTGATTTCTCTATACAAATCTTTCTGAGGCACACTACCTGGAATTCCAAACGTGTACCAGGAAAAGGGATCCAAAAATTCTTGCCATGGTTTCTCTTATTTCTAAGACTACAGAAGTATAAATATGCTTTGTTTGCTTCTTGACCTAATTTTCCTCCATTTCATAAGAATCTTTCATATTTAAAATTAAAGTAACATTGAAATCTTTTGGAAAAGACGCTATTTCGGGGTTGGGGTTAGGAGGGTGGAGGTGCACTCCTGTAACCTCTGCAAAGGCTGGCAAATAGATTGAGATAGGGAAGTAGTGAGCTGTAGTAGGGCTAACGCTGACTGGCTGTCTGAATTAGAGATGATATCAATACAGTGAGCTTCAAGGAAGGACTACCAGGTTGCTTAAGAGTGAAACAGCTTAGATCAGAAACAGAGGTGGTCTGTGCTTCTGTGCTGATCAACAGTGTGTGGCTGCTGCACTTTTGGCATGGGCAAAAGAGAGAGACCAAATCTCAAAAAAAATTTTTTTAATCAAAAATAAATAAAAGGAAAAGACTACTTAGTCAAAGCCTGGAACATAGTTAGGCATTTAGTAAATGTTTTTCTGTTCCCCCCACTAGCCTTAAATAAATTCCTATTTTTAATTTCACCACGGTTTTATTGCTATGTTATTTCATTTATAATAGAGCTACCATAAGGCCCAATTGTAAAAAGTTAAAAACTAGGGGAAAATGGTCTTTCTAGATAATAGTTTTATGTGACTTAACACAGCACTTTTTATCTCTTGCATGGTTTTTAAACTTATTTTGTTTTGTACTAGTAATTTGTGTACTGGTCTTACCTTTCCTAGTAGATGACAAATTCTTTTAGGGCAAATATTATGGCTTGCTCATTTCTGAGACAGTGCCTCTAGCATAATGCAGAACTCAGAATAACTAGTTGAATGAAGGCTTTATTTTTCCCTAGCGGACTAAAAACTGCAATATTTTTAGGTACTGTGCTTTAAGTCTGCTCTTAATTTGCCATACATTCTTAATTGGTCTTGATAGGTGAACAATACTCACAAATAATCCAAACTGTTTGTAAGGTATAATATCTCCCCCATCACTTCTTTTACCAGGGCTGCTATAAATTGGCAAAAGTGAATAACCTAATTTTAATTACTTTTATTTTTCTTGTCTACCATTAGAAGTAAGAAGACATACCTATCTCTTTACAATGAAGTGATGGACTAATAAGCAAAACTGGATACATATTTTTGGACAGGGCTAATATGGGGATTTTCTTTGCTTATGTAAGAGTTTAGGGTATCACAGAGAAAAAATAAATACTAGATAATTAAAAATAAAGTTTAATAGATTTTTTAAAAGTAAGCAAAGGATAAGGACAGAAGATCAAATAATCCACAAATTTTATAATCTCTTATAATCTTAGAGGACATTGATTTTATCATTATATGTCATATCTATGAAATGAAGCTAGGAATATAACTTGACTTTGACAGTCCCTGAAAACACTTAGTAAGAAAATAAATACTAATAGGTTAACACACTGGAAAACATTTTTAAAAGACTCATTTTCCACCAAGTAGAAACGAAAACTTTGGCAACTAAAAAAAAGCCATGGAAGTGGTTTTTTTTTTTTTTTTTACCCTTAACTTGTCTCATGGTCTTTGATTAATAAGCCTGGAGAGGAACTTCTGGGTGTTATGATGAAGAATGGATAATACAGCAAAGCAAGGGAGACAGAACAATATTATGGCTCTAATTAGAATGGCATCTTCTTCCAAAGCTGTGTTTTTCACAAAGACCATCCACCATCAGTAGGCTCTGCAGCCTAAGTTGTTTTTTCAGTAGACATGATGGAATGCTATGAAGCTTCTATTCTCTTTCACCCAATTCCCTGTGACTAACTACATTCATTTACAAGATTCCTGGCTCGTTAAGGGTAAATGCTGTGCCTATCAAACTCTCTCTGAAGCTAATTATCACTACACAAGAATCATATCCAAAACTCTGTTCCTACCAGTCCAAACTGAATTTATCAGCTAAAATAATCATCAACTATTTTTTCCACTGATATAGAAAGACCTATGCCAATATGTGGAAAAATACTAAACACAAAGAAAATATAAGTTTTCTGTTCATATTATGAACATTTTGAGCAAAAGTCTAGAACCTTAAAAAACCCAGAAGTTTTATAATAATAAGAGCTACCATTTATGTAAGGTTTACAAAGTAGTTTGTATGTCACCTTATTTGAGTCTCACAATGACAGGTGAGATAGGTACTATTATCACCCCAATTTTACTGATAGGGAAATTGGGGCAAATAGCTTGAATAGGATAACACAATTAGTTTAAAATGTCTGTGGTGGGAACTGAACTTAAATCTCCCTGACTCTACATCCAATGATCTATCTGCTGTGCCACCTAGCTGCCTAACAAATTTTAGGCTAAATGGTATAACATTAAGAGCACAGAAGATCAAAGGTGTAGAACTGGTAATTGCTTTATTTCACAAATGAGAAAACAAAGGCTCACAGGACTTAAGTGACAAGCCCAAGATCACATAGTAAGTAAATTGGAAAGCCAGTATTTTAATTTAGTTGTCTCACCTCAAATTCAGCAGTTCCACTATATCACACTGCCCAATGAAAAAACATTTTTAAATGACTGTTAAATATTTAGTTCAACTAAATATGTTGAAAAGTTTCTAAATTCCACTTCATTGTAGAAGCTGATTAAGAACATTGATTGTAAGCTTAATATTTTTATATTAAAAACTATTTTACAGGATTTTATTACCCTGGCTTTTACTCAAGTCCCTATCGATGACATGGGGGGTAAGAGGACAGGAGAAAAAGGAGGAGGAAAAGGTAATGGTTATAAGGTTCATGAGGTCAGAGACTGTTGTATTTATTAAATTTTTTTCCCTAGACTTACTGTTTCTGCATGTTCTCACTCTTATTTCAATACTGCTGTATAATCTAAGTCAAAGAAGAGAAAAAGTAAAGAGATACCATTTATTTCTAAATTTTATAGGTAAAAGGAAGTGGGCAGGAAGAGTCCTCTCATCAATGCAATTTAATGCAACTCCACAATCACAAAAAGGTAAAATAAGCATAGGCTATCCATTAAGCCTCTCACGAACTGGACATTACCGATTTCCTCCAGGCTCCAAGGAAGCTATACTTAAAAGATCAAATGATATCAAACCAAACTATAGAACATACCTGCTGGTAGATGAGTTCCACAAGGTCTTGCAAAGCATCATCAGTAGTGACCCAGCCTTTAAGAGTCTCTGCAAATTGATCAATTTCAGTTTCAAAACTTCCTGGCTGTTCTGTAAGGTGATTCAAAAAGTCCTGTACATATTCTGTAAGAGTAGGATAACCATCACATCCATCTTCATAGGAAGAATCCTACAAGATATAATCATACACACACACACACACACACACACACACACACACACACACACACACACACACACACACACGAAATTCATGAGTAAATCTCAGGTAATCCCTCTGGCAATGCAAACTACAGATTTCTCTACCACTTAGAATCTGACTTGGCCAACACAGCCAGTATGTGTTGAGGCAAGACCCCAGGTCTTCCTGGCTTCCATACCAGCTCTCTAATTATTCCACTGAAATGCCAATTATCAGAATCTAAGAAATTATTTTTATATAACTTTAGGGAAGATCTCTAAAGGCTAACAATGAACTACCAAAGTATTGATTTTTAAGTTCTCTTCCCTAAAAGTTAGTATTTCTTAATTTAACCCAAAATAAACTCAAAAACCTGCAGTTTGAGGGGTGAAAAAGCTACGTTTAATAATACTTTCCAGAGCAGCTAGGTGGCAGAGTGGATAGAGCACCGGCCCTGAAGTTAGGAGGATCTGAGTTCAAATCCGGCCTCAGATCAAACACACGACACTGACTAGCTGTGTGACCCTGGGCAAGTCACTTAACCCCAATTGCCTTAAAAAAAAAAAAAACCTTACGAAAGACGCTATATGCAGTAGAAATCATAGGCTATAAAATCTGGATCTAAAAATAATGTCTTTTAAAGAACCTCTAAAGCCAATTTTGTTAAATCTACTTTTAAAACTATAATTTTGAACAATTTTCAAATAGTCCTTACAGATTCACTATATGACCAAAACTGTTGGGAAAACTGAATAGCAGTCTGGTAGAAATTAGCTTTGGATCAATACTTCAAACCATATACTATACAAAGATAAGCTCCAAATGGATACATGATAAAGATATTAAAAGTCACATTAAATATATTAGAGGAGCAAATAAATTATCTTCCTAGATTTGTGGATAAAGAAACAGTTCATGAACTGATTAAGTGACAGGATTACACAAGATAAAATAGATAAACTTCATTATATAAAATTTAAAAGTTTTTGTATAACCCATTTAGTAAAAATTAGAAGAGAAACAGATAACTGGGAAAACAAATCCTTGCAACATGTTTCTCTGATAAAAGTCTCACTTTTAAGATATACATAAAGATGTGATTCAAATTTGTAAGACTAAGAGTCACTTCCCCAATAGATAAATGGTAAAAGGATATAAATACATAGCTTTTAATGAAAGAAATTTAAGCTATCAAAGTTATATAAAAATACTTTAAAACACTAATAATTACAGAAATACAAATAAAAAGCAACTTTGAAGTTCCACCTCACCTCTATCACACCAGAAAAAATGACAAATATTGAAGGAGACGTATACTAGGGCACCTTACTGTCTGTGAAACGGTCCAGCCAATTTGAAAAATAATTTGGAATCAGGCCCAGAAATCTACCAAAATGTGCATACTCTAACCCAGCTATACCACTACTAGGCCTATACACCACTGAAATTAAAGCAGAAAAGGTTGCATATGTTACAAAATATTTATAGCAGCTCTTTTTATGGAAGCCAAAAAATGGACACTAAGGGATTTTCTTATTACAGGAACTGCTGAACAAACTGTGATATATTAATGTACTGTAATTTTAAGTGGACGATTTCTGAGGAAGATGGGAAGTCCATTATAAAATAATGCAAAGTGAAAATAACTATGAAAACAATTTATATAATGATAATAACATTACAGAGAAAAACAATTTTCAGACTTTAGAACTTTGATCAAAAAATTGATATATCATAAGTTCAAAAGAATGAAGATCAAACAAATCACTCACCTCCTGAAAAAATAATGAAATTAAAATATAGAAAGACACATAAATTTTCAGACATTGTAATGTGGGAATGTGTTCTGCTTGATTATGAAGCTATGTAATTAAGGAATTAAAAAAAATTCTTCAATGGAGGGTAGGAGTAGGAGGGACAAATTAATTTTAAAAAATACTTGTTGAAATTTTTTTTATACATCCTTACACATTTAAGCTTCCCATTCATAAAAACACATGATTATCTATTACAAGGTCTTCTCTGCATAACTTAACAACAGTCCATCCCTAGTGTTAAATCTTATTTCAAAACAAAGTAATAAAACTGGTAGGTAAGCAATTCAGTATCCAAATGCCAGATATATTTAATTCACAAATTAAACAACTTTAAAAGAAGCAGCAATGAGATCTGCAATCTACTATCAACTGATCAGATGTAGTAAAAATATAAGAACTCTTTCCAAATTCATTTGTACAGTAGTGTCAAGATTAATGAAGAAAGAATGGCAAAGGGTTCCTGAATATATTGATTCCCAAAAAGGTAAGTGGTAATTTGGGGATGAGAGAAAGGAGGATGGTTTTATTACTATAAAAGAACTTCAGGTTGGTACAAAAAAAACCTGCTAATTCAGGGAATTTCTGTAATCAAAATAAGGCAGATTAAGTCACGGGGCTAAAGGAAACTAGTTACTACTTGAAGTTGAGGCTTCAGCATGGCTGCAGTGCAAGAGATGACTTCCTCCCTCCGCCTCCAGCGACCATAAAGACTCTGGTGGAAGAATGAATTAGCAAATAAGAAAAAAATGGTGCCCCCTCCCCCAATCAGATTACAGAAGTCTGGACTCTTGAGGAAGTAACAAGACTGTGATGGAAGAATGAATTAGTAATTAAAAAGAATGACCCCCAAAAAATCAGATTACAGGAGAAGCCTAGATTCTTGAGCAAGTAATTTGGACTCCCAGGACCTCAGTTTTTTCATCTGTAAAATAAGGAGGTTAGACAAGATGATCCCAAAGCTCCTTTACGGCCCTAACAGTTACTAATTCTAGGGTCTGGAAGAGATTGATCAATGCTTTCAGTCAAATGTAACTTAATGATGAGACCTGTTCTATAGGTAGTTTTTAACCCAAAATTCACTTCTACTGCAGCAAAAATTTCACATACCTCAGAGCCAGTGATGCCCTGGCAAGCTGGGCAGTTCCATGCCTTGGGAGTCATTTGTGCTATGCATCAAACATATGAGGGTAGCAGGACCAGTCAAGTGCAGGTTAGAAATAAATTCCCTCTACTAACACAGACCAGTATTTTGTCTGCAACTTACAATCTTACAGAGTTGCCTAGAGCAGTGGTGTCAAACTGAAGGCCTGAACCAGATTTAAAATATAATTGGGAAATGTTTAACAATATAAAACAATACAATATAGATGAATTAATTTGTGGTTTTATTTTAATTTGACACCATTAGTATAGAGTACTGAGAGGTTAAGGGACTTGCCCAAAGTCATAGCCAGTATCTGTCAAAGACAGAACTTGAACCCAGGTCTTCCTGGCTTCTAGTTCACAGCTCTGTAGCCACTACCCAATGCTATTTCTCTGCTAAGGTGTAAGTGTAAAATGAACATTATGGGAAAAAGACTGAACTCCTAGAGGAGAAATTCACCACTTTTTTCCCTTGTTATGAATGACTAAAACCCAAGTTCTCTTACAACCCTTCAATAGCTTCCTTTTGTATTTTGTGCAACAAATAGTTTCTGAGAAGTCTTACATGTCTACTCTCACCTGTGCTAATACTTACACAGAGACTACCTTCCACTTTCAAATCCTCTAGGACAGATCAGCTTGTGTTCTTTTTGTCTCCCCACACTTATTTCCTTCCTTTTCTACCTCATTTTTTCCTCATATTTGAATTTTTCCGAGCCACCAAACTAAATCCTCTTTAGTTCTATAATCTAAGAACGAACTTCCTTTATATAGAACTTTTAACATTTCCAAATTGCTTCCCTCACAATGCTTTGAGATAGGTATTACATTTTGCAGATTTTGCAGAAACAGAAGCTCTGAAAACTTAAAGGACTTACTCAAGGTCACATAGCTACTAAGTGAAATGGCCAGAAGCTGGGATCAACTATTCTTTAACCCATTTAACTTAATCATTTCTTCCCATTTCTCTTTAACTAAAATCTTTTTTCATTAAGAGATTGTAAATTTTTTTATAAACTGTTAGTAGTGTTTCTAGTACTATGTTGTCTTTGCTTGCTGTAAATCCTAGATGCCTGCAGCTTTTGTATTTTTGTAATCTTGATACAAAAAAAAAAGACTTAAAAGGGAAAAAGAAAAAAGTACAGTATTTTTTCCACATATGCATTTTAAAACATGTTTTTATGTGTTAGTGAAAGGTGTCATATTTGAATGCGTTTATACTTAACTTAAAATGCATCAATTTCAGGGTACTTAATCACTCCATTTCTAAAGCCCTATCCTCATTTTTGGTTAGTCAAATAGTCAATTAAAGATCATTAAACAAACCAAAACATGCCATATTCATTTTTGCATACATTAAGAGTTCTAGCACTAAAAACATTTAATTTTTGCATATGACACAATTATCAATAGAGACCTAAAAACATACTGATTTTCCATTTCCCCTCATATTTTCTACAACTTCCTGAGGTTCATTTTTCTGAAATATAATACAGTTAAAGTCATCTTTAAAACCTTTAAGTAGATGTGCACTTAAACTACCTCTATAAATTCAACCCTGAAATATTTTACTATCACAAATGATAAAAAAAATTCATTATTTTCTTTACAGATAAACTCCAAGTGTATATATAAGAAATCCTTCACATGTATAAAGATGCTGAAGATATATGCGAAAAGTCAGTAACTATCACAAAGCTAAATCAAACAAAAAACGCCGATACTTACTGTATAATTAGAAGTGTAACCTGATGGATAAAATTCTGGGGCATTCACGGACAACTTCGAAGACATTAACACAGGTGATACAACCACCTGGGGTTTAGCCATTGCTGAAGTACGCGGGGAAATTTTATCCTGCGAGCTAGGTGGAGCTCTCGTAGGCTTCGGATGTTCTAAGAAAGAACAGAGAAAGATATTAACTCTTTAAATTCCTTTGTGATACTGCTTACAACAGAAAAGCCTCGGACGGAATCTTCCTTTTTAAAAGTTACAACGAACAACAAAAAGTACGGCCATTTCTAAGGAAGAAGTGAAAACCCTTAAGAAAAGCTGCCTATGTCCAAGTAGCTTTAGCAGCGCTGTACTGCCCCGCTGCCCAAAGAAAATGCTCAGGACATTGGGGGAGGGGGCTGGGATCAAGGGGGGTTAGTACCCGGCTCTCTTCCAAATAAGAGGGGGCTGGCTTTTTTCCTCCCCTTCCAGCGGAAGCGCTCGGGGGCCCGAACCCGGCCCTGCCCGGGGAAGCACAAAGGCGCCCCGCCGGCTTTTTTCCCGTCCCTCCCCCGCCCCCCCCAAAAACCTCAAACCATAAAAAGTCATCGAAAAACAAGGCTCCGGGTGGACAAGGGACAGAAGGGGGAGGCGGGCCGCGGCTGCTCACCGAGCCCGTGCCCCGTCCAGGGCGCTCGGAGGAGGGGAGCGGACGGTGTCCGGGTCGGGGAGAGGAGGGGCAGGAAGGGCCGAAGCTTCCCCCGCCGCTGTGTACCTGCGGGAGGCCCGCCCGGGGGCGGCCGGTCGGGGGCGGCCGGGAGCTCGGGCAGGGCCCCGGGCGGAGGGGACGTCTTGGGCGGCCTCAGCGGCTCGGGGGGCGGGGGCTGCTGCTGCGGCTGCGGCTGCGGCCGCGGCCGCTCGCCCGGCTCCGCGGTCCCGCTGCTGCCGCCACCGCCTCCGCCGCGAAAACCGACGCCCTCGGGCCCGCCCCCTCCGCCTCCTCGGCCCCGGCCCCGGCCCTGGCCCCGACCAGCACCTGGGGCCCGGTCAAAACCGTCCGACATGCTCCTCCTCCGGCTGCCGCCGCCGCCGCCGCCGCCGCCGCTCCGGGAGGGAGGAGGGAGGAGAGAGGGAGCCGGGGCTGCGGAGCTGCGCTCTCGCCTCGGCCCGCCCCCCGCACGGCTCCGCCCCGCCCCGCTCGGGCCTCATGGAGGGAGGGAAGAGTAGGGGGCGGGGAGAGGGCCAAGCCAGCCGGGACGAGGAACCCCGAGGCAGCGGTCCGGCCCTGCACCCACCCGGCCCCTTCCCGCTTCGGCTCCGCCCCCCCGTCAGCGGCCCGGGCAGCTAGTCGAGGTCTCCCCCCGTGGGGGTCGGGGGGGCGACACGCGGCCACAGCGGCCCCGGGGGCCCGGGAGCGCCCCCGCGAGGGCCCGCGCCGCCCCGGGCTCCCCCTCCTCCGCGGGGAGGCTTGTTCACTTGGGACGCCCCGGCCCCGCCTCCCCAGGCTCATCTCCACCGCTCGAGGCACCGCCTCCGGCCGAGCCCCGGCCGTGTCCCCACGCCCCCCCCCCCAGCGGCCAGCTGACCTCTGCCCGAGGCCGCGCCCGAGAGTCGTCGGGGCCTCACCGAGGGACCCGGGGCAGCGGCTCCCTCGGGGCGGCGGCGGCGCTCGGCCGGCTCCGGACCGCAGGGGTGGGAGTGGGGATGGTGCTGAGGAGAAAAGGCGTCGCCTCACCCTGCCCTGACCGTGGCTCCCGCAGGGCTGAGCCCTCTCGGCGGACGCGGCGCGGTGGAGCCTCGCTCTCCTGACAGACCCCGGGTCGAAGCCACGGTTGTGAGGAGGGAGGGGGAAGAGCGGGGGGGGGAAGGGGGGGAGACCTGTTCACTCCGCGCCGCCGCCGGGGTTATCCGGGTGCGCGCTCCGCTCCCCAGGCGAGCACTTGGCGCTGTCGGAGCGCACGACCGCGCTCCCGCGCCCCGCCTCCCCGGCCCGCGCGGAGCGTGCAAGCAGGCATGCAGACAGACGGGAGAGCGGGCGAGCAAGCGGGCAGCGCCGGGAAAGGGACCCTGCGGCGCGTCCCTCCATCTCCCTCTCCTCGCGGTCTGCCTATTTAAAAAGTAAAAAGATAAATTCAGTTTAACAGAGGTAATACTCAGTTCTTACTGGGCTTGAGAGGGAAGAGAGTATTATAAATCTTAAGCCGGTGGAGACTTTAGGAATCACGTCGTGCAAACTCCTCTGGTAGTAGAAGAGGAAACTGAAGTATTCGGAGGCGACTTGCCCACGGTCATACTAGAGGCAGAGGGCCCCCCCCCTTCCCCGCCAAATTCCAGACCCCAAGGCTAGTGCACTTTGCACTGCACCCAGAGGGAAAGGCTGGGCAGGGAGTCCTTGCAGGAGCTCAGCCTCTGCTAAGAAACGAAACAGAAACTATTCTGAATCCTGCCGAGCCAGAAAGACCTCAGCCCCTTCTAGAAAAGAAACAGAAACCATTCTAAATGCAACCAAGGTCTTCCAGAAAAGAAGCAGGACCTCAGCCTCTTATAGAAAAGAAACAAAATATTCTGAATCCTGCTGGGCCAGCAGGATGTCAGCTTGTCCTCCTCCCCACCCCCCAGCCCTTCTACCCACCAAAAGGCAGAGGGGACCTTCTGAGTAATTATACTTGTAACTATTGTGATTTGAATTAAAGGGCAGGGCCATAGAAATACAGACTATTGTTCATAGTTTTTTTTTTTTGGAGTACAGACCTTATATTCTAGAAATAGACCTTTCAATGAAATTCCTATCTTCTTTACCATTTATTTGTTTCACCTTATTTACACATACAATATTGTGGGTGCCAAAGCACTGAGGTGCTTCAAGAGATGTGAGACTACTATAGGTAAGGCGAGAAAAATGAGGCATGATTTTTTATTCTTGTTGCTCTGTTGCTTACATTTTTATCACTAACTTTGATGGTAGGCCCTGTGTTTTAAGGGCAAATGGCAACACTGCTTAGATGAGTAATGAAAGGAGATTAGAGGCACGTCCTCAAGCATTGTCAGTCATGTAATCATGTGAACTTGTGAAAAAGACCTTTATAAATTACCGTCCAACAACACTTCTACTTGCCATTGTAAATTCAAGAAAACAAAAACAAAAAAACTTCAAATGGGAAAACATTAGCTTTCCCAAGAAAAACAGAAATGAGGATATCTTTGCTTCCCATTGTTATTTGGCATTGTTCTAAAATTATATTGGCATTTCTACATATCAATAACAAAATACAGGAGAAAATAATAGAAAGGAAAATCAAGACATAGAAATATAATTTAAAACACATTAAGGAAATTATGAGAAATAGTTGAAAGAATATTCAATGCTCATGGTTCAGATATACCAATATGATAAAAAAGGCTTTACTACCTAAACTGACTTATCATTTTGGTACCATATCAATTGAATTACCACCACAGCATTTTATAGAGTTATTCTAATTAATAAAATTCATTTAAAGGAACAAAAGGTCTGAAATCTCAAGGGGAGGAAAATGAAGAAAAATAGTGGGTTGTAGACTGAAGGTCTGTAAGCAAAAGCTGGCATATTGTAAAGGGGATTCTTGTTCAAGTCAGTTTAGCATAAGATGGCCACTAAAGTCCCTTCCAACTCAGAGATTCTAAGGACCTAAAAGATGACAAGTCTATGAGCAATACTGTCTCACAAGACAGGAGGGAAAGAACCTTCATAAAGCTTAGTGTGAGATCTGACTAAACCAGATAATTCCTAGAGAATTTGTAGGTGAAACTGGGAAGACAGCATAAAGATGTGAAATGGAATGGATCTGCAAGAATTTTTATAGTGGTTTATTCTTATTGGCAATGCCAGAAGAACCATTTGAGCTCTATCACTTCAGCACCTTCTGTACTATGTGAGGAAGTAGTAATGGTATTTGTGAGGATGAAATTGGGAACAATTAACTAGAACTCATTCAGTACATAGAAAATAATTTTTATGCTATAAGTAACTAAATTTTCATGGTACCCAGGGACCAAAAAAACCCAGAGTGATCCCAAGGAAATAGAAGAGATCAAAGATGATGCTTTTACTTGAAAAAAGCAACCATGAAGACATTGGCAATTCTGTATTAGATTTGGTTTAAAAAAAAAAAAAAAGCAAAAGGGAGGGTTTAGTAGATGATTTCCTACCACATCTTTAAACACAACCAACTGAGAAGTGCAAAGAATATAAGATCCCATTGGGTCTATCGTTTGTCCATTTAAAATATATATTGGACTCAGTAGTAGAGAAGGAAGTCTCCTCAAACCCAGTCTTTTGCATACACATTAAAATTTTAAATTACTGTATAACAGATGCTACTGGAGAGTCCACTTTGTTTAAAAAAAAAATTTGAGTATTGACACCAAGCAAGAAATAAGGAAGCATACTCAACTTAAAGTTTCCATGGTCTTAGAAGATGTACTGGGCCAAATCTAAGCAAAAGTGTACTCTATTGATGGCAAGGTTTTTTTTTCCCAAATGTTGGTCAATGGTTTCAGTCCTTTCTAACTTTTTTTTTTTTTGGTGAGACAATGGAGTGAAGTGATTTGCCCAAGGACACATAGCTAGTAAGTGTCAAGTGTCTGAGGCCAGATTTGAACTCAGGTCTTCCTGAATGCAGGGCCGGTGTTCTTTCTAACTCTTCATGACCTCATTTGGGGTTTTCTAGGTAAGGATACTGGAGTAGTTTACCATTTCTTTCTCCAGCTCATTTTACAGATGAGGAAACTGAGGCAAGCAAGGTTAAGTGATTTGCCCAGGGTCACACCAGTAAGTGTCTACGCCCAAATCTGAACACAGATCTTCCTAAATCCAGGTCTTGAACTGTATCCACAGCACCACCTAGTTGTCCTGATTTAAAGATGACATTGTCTTAATTTCAATGAGCCTCAAAATTTAGAGTATAACACTAATTCAAAAAATATCAAAGCATCTACACTGGGAAAATAAAGTGGATCAATCAATCAGTAAGTATTTATTGAATATCTACTAGTTTTCAAACACTGTGCTAGGTGCTAGTGATACAGATACAAAGAATGAAACAATCCCATCTCCCTCCCAAATATCTTACATTCTAATAGAGACAAGTACAAACACAATTGTAACCTTGGCTCATATCTACAGGGATGATTTCTAAAATTGGTCTTGAAGTCATAATAATTCTTCACTTGAAGTGTAATTATGAAATGGCTCATGTTTATGCCCCACTTAGAGAGCTAAACTCTCTTAACAACTGACTAGGTATGGAACTTCCATCCTTGCAATAGGAAAGATCCCACTATCTTTCATGGCTCTAATTGCATACTTATGCCACAAAGGGACACCCAGGTACACAAGGACAGGTCAACCACAGGTGTTTGTGAGAAGTAATATTAAATCTGGCAAATATATTTTTTAACAGAAAAAAAAGAAAATGAAATGGAGTTAAGAAAACAGGGTAGGACTGGCTTGTTTCTCTCTGATCTTCTGCACCAAAGCCCGTGATAAAATATGCAATCATGCACTTTCCAGCTTGTTGATTCAGATAAAATTCATCTCTAATTGTTTTACAGAAGAGAATTGTAGGTGTTTCAGACCTCAGTTACTGCCCCATTGTATTGCTACCATGGGACAATCACCACCTCTCCATTCTTCTCTCCTCAAGAGTCCCCAGACTCCTATTTTAGCCTTGTGTGAAAATCTCTGCCCTGCTTATCAGAAGACTGATCTCTCATTTATTTTATCTCTTTCCCAACTAAAAAGAACTATAAATCTTTCTTATTTCCCATTCCAATATACTGCCAAGACCTGTTGATTTTACCTTTCAAAATATCTCACCAATATACCCCCTTCTCTCCTCTAACAAGGCAACCACCTAGATAAACATGGCCCTTATCAGTTCAGACCTAGATTATTGCAGTAGCCTGCTGGTTTGTCACCCTGCCACAAGTCTCACCTCACTGTAATCCATTCTCCATTCAGCTGCCAAAGTAATCTTACTAAAGCATAAGTTGGACCCCCTACTCAATAAACTTCAGTGGCTCC